TCAATCTTATGATGAGCAACATCCCATACGTCGTGCACGGGCTGATGCTTGCTATCGCGCTGTTTGGAATGGAACTTCACTTCATTCATGAAGCTAAAATGAAGACCTTGCGGGAATGCGGTGCGATGGGTGCCGTAACTGCTGGAAATCAAGATGATCAAGAGAGTCACCAGGAGAGATTACCTCAACATGCACTTGAATGCAGCGACTTGAATCTCCATTTACCAGAGTTGACGATGCCTCCGTGGCACGGCGACCACAATCGTCTGGTCGAGCTTACCACGTACGCTTACAAGAGGAAATACAACTTTTCAATCGGCTATGCCTTCGCCTGGGCCCTCGTCTTTGAAGGGGTCTTCTCCACCGTCTACCATCTTTGCCCTTCTCGTGCCACCTTTCAGCTCGACACAGCGTTCATGTTTGTCATTTGTGGGATGATAATAGTCTCGTTGTTCAATGGTTCATCGGATGTGGTTGGAAGTCACGATAGAAAACCAATCGGCAACAATAACTTTATTCTTGCTGTGATAGTGCCTCTTTACCTCTTCAACTATCTTGGCTTTGTTTACAACGAGTTTAAAAGAAGCTCTTTTTTTGATGTCGCCTTCATTGCCCTGTTGGTCATCTGGTTCATCGCAATGACAGTCTGGTCCTTTTATAAACTTGCCATCTTCAAGAGCTTTAAGTGTGAGGACTGTAAATTGTACTTTTTCAAAGTATTCTTGTTTCTKCTCGCAATTGGGGCGAATGTCGTAATTCTGTTCTTCATGCGTAATGATTTCTCCCAGGCGTTCTTGTTTTCGAGTATTTTCACTGCCATGATCAGCGCGATTGCAAAATGTGCAAAATACATCATCAAGYTTCTTACTTACATCGTCAAGTGTCTTACTTGCCCTTGTTGCTGCATCATCAGGTKTATTTGTTATTGCTGTTGCCCAGAAAGGTGTCTTAATTGTTGCTGCCCGGAAGAACAGCAAGTCGAAGAGCAGGAAGGCTTGACTAGGAAAATCATTGCACTTCGTGCTATGTACTTGATTGGGATGTTGGCTCCATTRACCGTCTCAGCGGTGTACATCTTTTTTGTTTATGCAACAACGCAGAAAACGGACACTCCAGCSCAATCGCGAAACCTCAACCAAGAATGTGTTTGGCTTGCCTTTTTTGATTGGCACGATATTTGGCATTTGCTGTCTTCGTTTGCTTTGCTAATGGGCGTGTTTCCTCTCATGTACATTAGCAAATGACTGCTTTTAGAAGGATCTTGCAACTGCAAATGGCCAAGTGGATGGATCATCAACATGGAATCAAAGTAAACATTCAATGTATAACAGKGATAATTTAGAAAACATTTAGCCAATAGTTATTCTCTTCTGTACTCCGACGAAGGATCAATTGAAGTCCGAAACGTCAGTAAGTTGTTTCACCTACTTTTTTAACGGTGTTAAATTTATTTCTTTACAAAACTGTTTCTTTAGAAACACCGATGAACGCAGTTTTCATACTAGTTTACCGCTGGCTTGCAAATTTAGGAGGAAACTTATTGTGGTATTTTGTTTCAATAATCAATGCTGATTTACTGATAGTTAGGTTACATGTAAAATGTTATATGCATATGAGCGATGTCATTGTAAAAGGCACCTAAGCTGCTAAGGTCCCTTTTGGCCGCGCCGCTCTCTACACTACAGATCAATGCTCAGGGGCGTATTCTTTAGGACCTATTTGCATTGACAACACTCATATGCTATTGACATGCTAATGAACCGAAATGTCAACAAATTATTCATCTATTGTTAGTCATTTATACTTGCATGCAACTTATTACTGATTTAGMATGTGATGTAATAAAAGCTCTCTGTTCTAGATCTTAACGAATATAGATATGGGGATTGTTCAAAGACAAACGATTCAGTTGTTTTGCTTTGTTTGTGCCGCACGCTCAGGACGGCCAACTCTTCTTTATATTTTTGGGTTTTAATGACGTCTATTTTTTTCCTTATCTCATCGACCACGTTTTTTTCCTTTGGCAAGTCACAGGCTCGTCATGTGAAAATCGTATGGTTATCTTTCATACCACAGAGATTAATACAGGCTCTTTGTATCAGTTGTTCTTATGTCTGGAGTCGTAAGGGACCTCTTTCACGGATCACGACGCACTCCAGCCGGAATCGACCCTCCTGGAGACTTTAAGATTTTATAAGTAGCGTGTCCAAAAATACCTTGGAAAGATGAATAGTTACAACAAATTACTAAAATTACTAAATTCTTTTCAGGCTCAAGACTGTGGAATGTGTTCTGGCGACGACAACGTTTTTGAAATAGGTGTAAATTGAAAACCGTCTCTTTTAAGACTTTGGCACACTTCCCCGCCATAATCTATTCCTCTAGACTGCCCAAACTGATCTATATTTCACTTGAAGAAATTGCATCTCCAGGCCAGATACCCAGGCCAGAAATGAATCGATGACCAAAGTGGAAAACCCTCAAGAATACAATAGATTAAAGTAGCTACATAGATATATAAAATTCACAATCTTGAATGAATTCAKCATATGATTTTGGATATTGGAGATATTTAATTCATCGCGTGACTTTTCATTCTCTGCTCAGTAAGCCCTTATCTCAAGGCACCTCCTGATGCTACTCAAGGCTCCGTGAAAACTACAACAAAAGGACACTTCCACAACTGAACAGTATTTGTAAAATAACTATCTGAACTACACGTGCAGAATCCTATGATATAACCTGATATATGTTTTATCAAATAACATATCCCATGATGCTAAGTAATTAGGCTTTTTGAATGGGCCCAAAATAGACCAATTATTTATCAATTCAGGAAAAAGCATTGAATGCAAAGATACAGTTTTCGTGTTCAACCGGTTTTGTTTCTATAATTTAAGCAAGCATTCCACCATCCTCGGGAACCCAGGAGTAAGCTTCTGAGGAACGAACGACAGAAGCTTACCCCTGGGTTCCCGAGGATGGCATTCCACGAAATTTTCGTTGCCAAACTGTTGTTATACTGGATTCAAATTATGAATATCTGCTTTTAAGACCCCCGACGATGCTGTGACCTCTCTGATGTCATAGGATGATCTCTGAATATTCATGCCAATTATTCAAGATMTAAGGTAACAAAATTTCTTTTGATTCGAAATTTACTTGAATTATCCATCACATAACAATAACACAGCGAAGGTTAGTGGAACCGAATGAAATCAAATTAAGTTAAATTGAGAGATTTGGTGTTGAATTCAGTGTGAGAGTGGAAGCTATGATCCAGCTAAGAATTTATTTATTCAAGTTCGGTTTATGTCGTCCCTAGCAAACTCCAACATGTTTCTAGCACTTCTGATATCATTCATACACACGAAAAGCACAAAATCATGATAAAAAGAGTATGGATCAACAACATAATCCAATTTAAAAGGACGGCTGTAAGTCGACAATAATGTACGAGAAAAGTTAAAGACGTAACGCAATATTTAAGATGATTTTGAACAAATTTGTACAATTCTAGCGAAATCTATTTCACGGATACAATGATCAATGCCCATCTAACCTGGGGGAGGAGGTATATATTCTGTTTATCATATAATTATATTTAAAAGTAAATATCATGCAAAAACTTTATTTTACTTCCAATATATAGGGAAACCTCGGATATGATATTTTCACGAGTGCAAATCAAATAATTGTCTATGAAATACCTGAGCCATTTCCTTGCAAAGGAAAGAAATTAGATCACAGAGGAAAAATACACTGTTTGAGCGATGCCAAAACGAACGAATAATAAACTTTAAGAGCGGCGTCTATTTGAGGCCGGCGTCTATTCGGGTGAGGCGTCTATTCGAGTAAATACGGTACCTAAATAACAAGGGAAGCAACAATATTGAAGCAAGGGTAGCCGATCAGTGAGAGGAAAGTCCTAAAACCTGTGGACCCTGTTAATTATTCGATTACTGGTGTCATGTGGTGGTGACGCTATTTGGATTTGAGTTTCTTTCCGTTCTCTCCCTTGTTTCGAGAGTTTTTGTGGATCTTTTCCGCGGCTTCCAAAGAAAATCTTATGCGATGCCGGAAACTGCGTCCCGATTTTTTCCAAATCCCCATACACTTCCTTTTAACTTGATAAACGCTTTCAAACGTTCACATTTGATCTGATTAACATGATTAACAATTGAATTTAGGGACTTGTACCGATTCTCCCACTGTAGGAAACCGGGCAATGCCAAAAAAGAGCGATTCCTGGCTACAATCGATCCTCCCTGAGACTGCTACAAGATATTGTTAACTTAAAAGATGTTGATCTATGTGATGCTTTTTTTTGCAGATGGCACAATCCACCTTAAAAGCTAAACCCTTAGAAAACGTTGCCATAACCGGTGGTACTCATGGTAACGAGTTGCTAGGGATTTACCTAGTTCGTCACTGGATGACCAATGACACATCAATCAAACGTCAATCATTTAACACTCATCTTGGCTTAAACAACACACGCGCCATCGARAAATGTGTGCGATACATCGACACAGACCTTAACCGTGTATTTTCCAAGGAAGGTGTAATCCCGAATGATCAAAATGTCTACGAACTTCAAAGGGCGCGTGAAATTCAAAAGTGGGTTTTGGATAGAAATGTCGACTATCTTATAGATGTACATGACACGACTGCCAACACAGGAGTTACCTTAATCCTTACCCCATCGGCCGCTGATAACATGCTGACCCTACAGATTTTGGCTAAAGTCAAGGAGAATTTGGATTTTCCAGTCCGAGTGTTAAGCTTTAAGTCGAYTTCTATAGTGAAAGACAAAAAAGGCCAAAACTCAGGAGRTGGRGTTCTAGAGCTGACGGGAAGTGGACTGGSACTAGAAAATGGCCCAGTCTCTCACGGCACCATCAAAGCCSACATGTATCAACAGACTGCTACAGTGATTGGAAAAGTTCTGGATGTGATTGAGGAGTTCAAYAACGGCCTTGAACTCAATGGTGAGGACCTTGAGGTGTTTGAAKTTAGWGGAATCATGCAATATCCSAAAGATARTAATGGTAATGTCATGACCATGATTCATCCCAAACTCGATGGCAAGGATTGGSTACCYATCCAGCKTGGTGATCCTATTTTYATGACATTTGATGAAARGACCATCAAGCATGAAGATGAACAGGAGATTATACCAGTGTTTATCAATGAGGCAAGCTATGTAGAGAAAGATATTGCATTTTTTCAGGTGGAAAGAGTTAATGTTAAACTAGAATCTGTTCAAAAGATTTGAGTTTTGTAAACGCTTAACCAGGATCAAAATACACCAATCAATGGGCTATTCCATATAATATCCGTACCCCCCTTTTGAGGACCTCCATTAAAGAATTTTAGAGTAGTCTGAACCTGAAGAAAACAAAACAGAAACCATCTGAGCCCCTGAAGAAAGCTTCCTAACTCCTGGAGAAAGCTTCCTAACCCCTGAAGAAAGCTTCCTAACCCCTGAAGAAAGCTTCCTAACCCATGAAGAATTATTGCATTATTTTCCATGAAGAATTTAGGTCCTCAAAAGGGGAGAGGGAGGGATACTAAATTGAATAGCGCATTGCAGACCAAGGTAGAAAGGTTTCACAAAGACTTAGCTCATGAAGACATTTTCGTTGTTTAGTGTTTTTATTGTTAGTCTAATATTGAACACAGACCGGTGATGTAGGTGCACTTTACTTTCACAATATATCATAATTCCTCAAAAACTGTATTCACCAATCAATATTGCATTTACACGATTCTGCATTCGTCTGTCTTGGCATCGTAACACAAATAGAGTCCAATAAAACCATGATATCACCATTTACATTGTTTAGTCTTATGATTTTTAGTGTGTTAGGAAACACCAATCTATACCACATCTACTAGTTCTCGCTGATGACACGATTGTCCATTGGCATARTAACACAGATAGAGTCCAAYAAAGCCATCCCAACGCAATATAACATTTTAGTCYTGAGATGTTCAGTGCTCTGCCAAAAACACRYCCAATCAGATGTACAAGTTCCYATTGATGACASGCCATTCATCAGTCKCTGCATCGTARCACTCGATAGAATAAAACAAAACCATGCATYCAACATTGTATTCATACGATTTCTAGTGCTCTGTCAAWACMGAGACMCCCATATCACATCTACTAGTCCCCATTGAYGACACGATTGTCCATTCATCGGCCGCGGCATCGTAACACTCGACAGAGTCCAATAATGTCATCCCATCGTATCCTCCTATTGCATAAAGTTTCCCACTTAATAAAATAGCTCCAACATAGCATCGCTTAGACTGCATGTCAGCGGCTGAGACCCACTGATCTGTGCACGGACTGTAGCATTCTGCTGTCGATAAATGTTGGGTGCCATCATATCCTCCTAATGCATATAGTTGCCCATCTAATATCGCCACACCCGCTCCTGTAAAACATAAAAATATCTAGGCAAAGTTTCAAGAAGTTCCCGCGCAGTTTTTTTGGGATACATCTTCACCTCTCTCAGAACGAATAGTGGCAATAGTCTACTTCACGGTTACCTTCGCCATCTTGAAAGGTAGCCGTGCCTTTGCATCGAAATGAGACCGTTGAGCGTAAATATGATGTTAGTGCCAAAATTGTCTAAATTCAATGGAAATCATTTACATCAAATTTACAGAATTTTGGACACTTACATCATATTTACATCAAATTTACAACCTTTAAAGCGCTTGATTTTTTCCAGTGATTATTAGCGAGAGCCTACCTGATCTTTGAGTCCCCATGGGTGCGACTGCCGTCCATCGCCCTGTCCTAGGGTCATACCGTTCCACTGTATTGAGTATACTATCACCATCATATCCACCCACAGAGTACAGGATGCCGTCCATGTTTGTCAATCCTGCTCCTTCTCGAGGCGAAAGCATGTTGCTTGCTAGCGTCCATCGGTCAATGTTTGGATCGTAACATTCTACACTAGTATGACGGACTGTGCCATCGAATCCTCCAGATACATAAATCTTGCCTATCATTAAATAAATAAATAAAATAAATAAAGTCTTTTATTTTGAGAGGGTAGCACGTAATAGTCTCTAGACTAATAAACTTGTGGCCCTCTATATATTCACTCACACTCACTACCTCAACATTCATTATTTTACCACACGACACTCCTCACAGCTAGTTTTTGACGGAGGGAGGAAAACCAGCGGACCTGGAGAAAAACCCCCGGAGCAAGGAAGAGAACCAGCCTACAAACTCAAATCACATATAGTCCCGGACCGGGAATCGAACCAGGACCACAGCGGTGATAGACCGTCGTTTTAACCGCTCGGCCATCCTTGCTCCCCTAAAAGAACGAACGGGTCAGGGGCGGGTCCAGGTTTTCTTTAGGGGGAGGGGTGTGTGATTTTAGCCACGTGAGTATATTTCCAAGCAAGTGTAAAAAAGTGATCAAGAAACCGAGGGTGTAATGTGTTGGAGAGGGTAACGCTGTAGTATTGGTCCTGCATGGCAAGCGCATTCTTGCACGGATGGGACAGTTTTAGGATACTGAGTATTTGAGACACCTGTCTGAAAAATAGTGATGTGCGCTCGAATTAAATCACAAAAGCGATGTTAACAACCTATGTTTGTCACAGTGTTAAACAGGAATCCCAATAGAAGATTTTATTGCCGAGGCCGTAGTCTATTAGTTATGAGGTTTTTATTTAACCAAGTCTGACCCTCTTTGCTTCACTTTGCCCTTGAAATATGAAAAAATCGAAAACCTAGCACGAAGAATGAGAAAGAAATGTGCGAGTGCGCAACATCTGTGACTCAAGCCCCGTTTACACTTGCGATTTTTGCAGAGCGATTCTCGCGGCGATCGTCGCGCGACCATCGCCTGAGTTTCGAACATGCTTGAAAATTAGCTGCAACTACTTCCCGCCGACTTTCAATTGTCTCAACAATCGCAAGGCTATTTTAGTTGCGCGATAGCAAAGTTTCGATTATCGCGAAACAATCGCGCTACAAAAAAAAGTGTAAAAGGACCTTTAAGAGATTGACTAAACGCCATTTGCCCTTACCATCTAAGGTAGCTGCACCAGCTAAACCTCGTTTCTGTAACATAGGAGTAACTGTAATCCACTGTGATACAATAGGGTCATAACATTCSACCGTATTTAATCGACTTGACGCGTCATAACCACCAAGCGCAAATAGTTTATTACCGAGAGAGACTGAACATAGATAACGACGCTTTCTTCCCATTGGCTGAAAAGAGAGAACAAGTTTTAAAGCCTGTTCAACGTGTTTTGAGGCAATAAACAGACTCGCAAACATTTTTCGAGGATTAGCTGTCATTAGCGAYAAAATCATCCTCACTTYATTCCCGGGGGAGGGGACCCCGGGGCAGAAGTACCGGGGATGCTCGTCGGATCTCTTARGGATAAACAATTCATGATYGRRAATCTTTTRGRGTACCAATTTGGAGTTTCTGGAAATTTGCATTTACTGCAAACTCTAAGGGTGTCGGAAAAGAAGAGAAAGAGCGCTTTGATATTGRTTTTCCTCTGCRTTTTTATCGGAACTGATTTAATTTAACAATATTAAAAATCAGTCAGACACGCCCTTTTTTCAAGACTTCGGGGATCTTTTTGAAAATTTCTGACGAGCATCCCCAATACTTTTACCTCGCAGGTCCCACCGGGACTTTACTAACCTGTATTGTTGACCATTGGCCAGTTTTTGGGTCATATTTCTCTACCACGTCGACAGGTGATTGCATATTTCCAAACCCTCCAAGGACATACATGACGTCTGCCATGCCATGTCTTGCCTTAGTACGAGGTGATTGTAGTGCATGACGGCATTCTGGTCTTAGGTGATATTTCTTTGCTTCATCAACCAARTCACGACACTCATGGCTCTGCTTTATAAGTTTCTGAAAAGAAATATGACTAAAATAGAACGATTGCCTTGAAGATGAGGAATGCAAATCCGCCATTTAAAATAATCCAAAATCTGAAAATTATCACTAAAAATGKCCAAATTCGCCGTTCCGAAAAACCCATACCCCCCTCTTTTAGATGTACAGCAAACAAACTGTTTGACTTTCCAAAGATATGTTACACTATTTGTTTGGCATATAAAGTCTCATATATCAAAGAATTTGTCTACCAAGGAAGGGAAGGGAGACCATTTCCTGGTCAACGCACCTCATTATCTACACAATCTGTTAAGTATCGTGGGGTTAGCAGAGGTAAGCGCACTTTTTCCAGCATGTCTGGCAAGTTGTCCATCCTTAAGTCTTCTTCATGTTTGATCCAGTTTAGAACAGCTTCAAAAACAGTCTCCTCAGTAGGGACCTGAAATCATACTTTGTTTTAAAAAAATTGGATCTCCAATACAGAGTAGTAATGAGATACATTCAACTCTCGCCTTACGGACACCCCGCTACTACGGACACCTCGATATTGCGGACAGTAAAATACTGAATCCCCGCTGAAAAATACAGGGAAAATGCTGAAAGTAATCATAGCTTTTCCCCACTTACAGTAAGATTGTCACTTTGTATTAAGTTTGTCACTTCTTCAGCATCAAGAGTCATAAACTCCTCACTTTTGACAATCTCTGTAAAATGTTTGTGTATGAAAGATTCTGCAGCTGTTTTGAGCTCTTCGCATCCATGAGTTTCAGCAAAGTT